AAGCTCAGGCCTTCCTACACATACTGCCCTGTGCAGTGTGGCCACAACCTGCAGCAAGGGTGGGGAGCAGCCAAGCAATCACCACTCTTGATCCCATTGCTCCACTAGCAGTGTCAATGGACCCCAAGGGTGGGATTCATCTCACCAGACAGCAACGCAAACATCTACATTTCGCTAGTTGTTTAAAATCCCTTCACAGTCAGCACAGAGGGAGGGGTAGTGTAGAGATAACAGGCCTCCTGTAGGTATTCCTGCAGGCTTACTCACTCCCTAGAGCTGCCCATCGCCCTTCTATCGGCTCGTGAGGGATCCAGAGAGCTGGTGCAGGTGCAGACAACAGACATCTGAAGGAAAGGGACACAAGTTTCACCCATAAATCTTAAGCTAATTTAGAGGAGTCTGTGTCCCACCTGTGCCACAGCAGCTCTGCAAAAGTTCTTCCTCTTGTCTTTCAAGACAATGCCACTCTTCCGAAAGATTTGCCTTTCAAAGTGGGAGTTTTCTCAAGTACTGTTAGGTGATACAATGAATTGTTGTTACAGATCATCCCACCATGCTGCTTGCCAGGGATCTACATCAGATTTCGGAGAAGTTTGTGGATCAGCTCCTTTACTTCTCGTTGTTCATAGTTCTTAACAGGAAACCAGCCCAGAGAAAGAGGAAAGCAAAGACAACAGATGGCTGGGGGGGAAGGGCAGATGAGGACAGCTAGTTTATTTGTGTGTAATACATACCAGAAGAAACTTCCAGAGGATCCAGAAATGACCAGCTCTGCTGAGAAAGAGTTTATATAATCGATCTATAACCTTAATATATTATATCTGTATTAACTTCCTTCCTTGTCTTGGTTATGCTCCCTCGCTGATTTTAAACTTTGCATTGGAAACTGTCAAGGACACAGACTTCCTCCCACACCCCTATCTGGCTTGTTTGACCATTGCCTAAAACATGAGTGCTGCTCCTGACTGGATCTGAGTCACCACCCTACACAAACAACGACAAAAAATTAATTCAGAGCAAACAGTAACTTTAAAAAGTCTTCTTTCAAATGTTATCTGTATTGCCCTATAAAACCTAAAAATAATTTTAAAAATCTGACTGAGCTCAGATTGTGGTATTTTTTTCTCCTGATATTGCAACTTCTTCACAAACATGCTGCCATTTTATCGTTCTTACTGTACTGGGGGTAGCTGGCTAAGCCACCTCAAAGAGGAATAAATGCTGCAAGTAAATATGCCATAGATAATTTACTGAGGGTACAAGACATTATTGCTTAAAGAACTAATGTTTTCCTCCATGCCACCAAATAATATACATATGAATACAAGATGTTAAAAACTTGAATTCTTTCAGTTATTAAGTCCATGTCTCAAACCATGGGAACACACAGAAGGATTCAGCAGGCAAGAGAGCAGTGAATTACTATTAGTGATACATGGACTCTGTAGGATAGGATATATGATGCTCTCTGAATGCTGACAAGCGACTGAAAACATCCAATAATTTGGTTATTATGGAATAAGGATCCATGCAGTTTTCCCACAGAAAGTTTCCTTATGGGATGCAGAAATGCCTCCTGGGCTAAAATGACAAGATAGAGAAAGCAGACATAGAAGTCAACTGAGCCCAAACTTTTTCTGTGAAGAGCTTCCTTGCCATGAAGTAGGATCAACTCACATCAGCACATGAGGGACAAATGCAGAAGGGCTTGAACATCTTTTCTTATGTAGATGAACATCCGTCTGATGTTGGTGCAAATGGCTCTGTCCGGAAAACTACAGTAGATGCCTGTATGATGGGCTGGACACAGGAAAATATTGCTTGATGAGGAACTTCATTTTTCTCCACAGGTTGTCTGTGGCTACCATGTCAGAGGGGCCCATCTGCTGGTGACCAGAGCAGGCACTCTGAACTGGGCAGGAGTAGAAGCTGATGCCAGGCCATAGGCTAACCAGCACACCAGCTGCACACAAGGACTGGTCCTCTCTGACATTTGCAGCCTGCCGTTTGCTTGCAGGCACAGCTATTCCAGAGAACTTGAAGCCTCTTATTCTTAAATGCCAAGTTGAGGAAATAAAAATTAGCACTGAACACACAACAGACCCCAGCAGTAAGGTGGGGAGTTGGTACTGTAATGTGAATCTCTTCGCTCCTGCTGTGGACAGCACAGATACTTGTGGAAAGAAGATACCTTTGGCTCGCCTACAGAGATCGAGAGCTGAGATTAACGGCAACTGTGAGGGCTGCCTTCCCCTTTATGCGATGCATGCTTTAAAGCTGTGGCCTCCTGCCATCTTGAAACATAATCTTGTGGTATTGTCTTCATTCAGGGTCCTCATCAGCAATGTGAAAAGAAAGAAGCTGGTGGCAGGATTAGAGGAGAGGTTGAAATATTCTGGGCAGCACATGCTGTAAGTCACATCATACAGAGTATTATTTGACTGCTCATTGGCTAAGACTTTTCCTACTGGAAGCACTGCTGCTTGTGAAAAAAGAAGACCTGGTGAAAAGTGTTTACAACACATCAGATCACAGCATTTGACACAACGTGAGCACAGTGACAAGCACTGAAAATAATTTTCAGGCCCTGTCCTAGGAGAGCCATTTGTGCTTGCCAGGGTTATGCAAGATGCATGGGAAAAGAGGAGAAAGAGAAGTGAGAATAATAATTCAGAAGGGTATTAATAACCATCCTAAAATTACAGTCATTAGATGACCCATCTCAACCTTAAAACTGAGTACTTTAGTCTTGGAAGGCTGTTTGAGACACTCATTGTTTTAGAAGCGAGAATCTACCTTTTGTTGTCCAGTTTAAATTTATTCATGGCAAATTATACACATTTGTGCTTAAGACTACCAATGTTCTTAACAGAAGCAGGTTATTTTCCTCTCCTGGCCATAATGTATTTACTGAGAGCAGTCACATTCTGAGACTTCATTTTATTTCACTAAATAAGCCAGGCTCCTTTAGCCTCCTTATGTATCTCTATTCTCTTGGTCACCTTTCTAGTTTTCTGAAATGGTTCCAGTTTGTAGTGACCTTTCTTGACCATGACCAGACCAGACTAGACCACTATTGACTAAACCTATATACAGAATTCCACACAAAATTATTAGAAATTATATTTCTTGTACTATTGTTTCCTTTGAAAAGAGGTTCCTCCTTGTCCTATACACACAAAGGAAAACAAACTAAAGTGAATTTCCTATCTCTGAAAGCTACTTGGGAAGTTCTAAATGTTCAGAGTCAATCTTTCTTGGAAACCCTTGGCTGCACAAGATTCCCACAACTAAAACATATCCTCCTGAAGTCTGGGAACATTAACATTTACAAGGGCAACTGCATTCATTTAAAGTGTCAAGTTCAGTCTTGGTGGCATGTTGTAAATAACTTCAGCTTTCATCAGACTGGCTTCAAATGCATGTTAGTATTGTTGGTTTGGCTCCTGACTATCTCTGTGGTCAGACATTTTTCTTGTCATGTAAGAAACAATTTCCTCTTTTGGATCAAAAAGCAGTCCATGGTCTTGTCTACAACTTGGAGCACTTTAACAAGTTTTTAGTTTTCTTTTTGACCCTCTGGACACAGAACATCACTTACCCATTTCACTGCAAACACCTTTCTGAGTAGCAGCAACACACCTAATTATGCCTTTCCTCAGGTCCCTTTTGCTGACAAAAAAAAGGTAAAAAGCTGCCATACAGGGGGAATATAATTTCTTCTCAGCAGCCGGGTGGGTTAGAGAGAAGACATACAATTAGTAACTTCATTTACACTATCATGGAATAGTGAACCAGAAAGGTATTTCTAAATGGAATCATAATTCTAAAAGGGATCTGAAAGTTTCCAAAAAGATATTTACTGAATTCAGTCATTATATGAACTACTGTGTTTCCCTTAGTTTGGAGATTTAGATACACTGAATTCTCATCCCTCTAAATCAAGCACTTCCTCCTCAAATTGTAATTTCAGATTACAGAAAGCGTAGCGTTCTCAGTCTACTGAATGTGTGAGTTTCCCAGCCACTGGCAGAGGTGTGCTGGCTCACATCTCTTCCCCTTCTCCTGTGGAATTGCCACTCAGCTCCCCCCTTCACTTCAGCTCTTCCAGTCTTTAAACAGGGGTAATTACTTCTCTCCCAAAAGCCTGCAGTAAATTCACATCTAATCATGGCTTTGAGCTGGCGTAAGCTTAAAAAGATACAAAAAAGCTAACAGGAACTCCATCTAGTCATCATGATTTTGAGCAGAGAGAAATGCACCAATTCATTTTCAAAGGGCAAGGACAGTGCTAGTGTAAGAAAGCTGCACACTAAAATTGTACTGAAACACCTTCTCTTCATACAAGTCTCACCTAAGTAAGCTTGGGTGGCTGCTAATCTGAGTTACATGTAAAACAAAAAACTGATAGCTTCCATGCCATGCCTGCAAAGTATGTACTTCTACACTGGAAGGCCATCGTTATCTCTGATACCAGAGCAACTTTATAGTGTGCTAAAACCTTACTAGTATTCCCTCCATAAAACAATAAACTTTGACACAAACCGTACTTAGACATCACCACAGGGATGTATGTAGCAAAAAACCAGATATAAGGAAATTTGAACGGAATTACCTTACTGTGCTAATACAGTGCAACCTAATATTTTAAGAGGTCACCCAACAACCTCTTTTGTTTGCAGAACAAAGCAAGGTCAGTCAGATTTTGCTCTGTTTGACCGAGGGATTTCTCAATACTTATACATTCTCCATATAGCCAGACACAAAGATTAGAGGATACAGCTTTAATTATGCTTGTGCAAGGATGAAAGAGCACTGTCAATTTAGAAGGAGCTACCAAAACACACAAAGTATACATCTATGTTGGAATAAGACATTAAATGCAATAAAACCTATATCTGGTTTTTTTGCTTGTTTTACAAGGAATTTTTTCAGTATCTGTCTAAGTAAGCTTTGGAGCTCAAACACTAATCCAAAATCACTCTCTTGCACAGATCAGATTATTCTTCCTTGCCAAACAGATCCTCCAGAAGAGATAAGTATTTGATCTTTTTCCCAGGAAGGGATGGTGGTTTTCTGCTCCTGTCATCTTCTTTCTGAAATTAGTAACCCAGAGAATATTTTAGAATATAATACTGAAAACAACAATAATTAAAAGCTGGTCAACATAAGATTGAATGAGCTGCTTCATTTCCACATACAAATCTGTGAAAAAGTGGAACTTCATATCGCACATCCTTTTAACAGATTAGTACATTCCAATTTTTGTCAGTCTTGCAGAATATCTTATTAAAAATATTTTCCATTATTAGCCATTTCACAGATATTTTCTAACTAAACAATGTTAGATTTTCTTCATTAAGACACTTATACTTGAAAGCCTTGCAAATCATCTATGTTTCAACACCAAAAAAACATACAAAATAATGAAATAGAAAGAAAGAAGAAAAAGGTCAGCTAAACAAGCACAACTCTGTTGCTGAAATCTATCTGTCAAATACAGGTTCTGTAGTCCTAAAATACTGCTGTTAATTCATTTTAAGTCATGAACAGAATGACAACTGGATTCTCAAGTTGAACAAGTTTTAAATCCCTTTGTCTATTTTTTTCAGTTTCCTATTGATCTCTTCATTAAAATACTCTTGTATTGGACCAAAGATAGCCTAGGTTGCAGCTAACTAACAAAATAATAGTCGATAAAACTGAATAAACTATACTGACTCCAATTTGGGTGCAGTGCATTAAAAGCAGTGCTGTATGTCAGCATGACAATTACAGCAAGGCTGTGGAGCTGATGAGGAACTGATTACCCCAGCATGATAATGACTGGTTATAATTTCTATGGATGCTCTTTCTTCCTTCTTGATTTCAGCTGTAACCTTTCTCCCGTAACTCCATGTACCATTCTCAACTGGGGCTCTTGGGCATCAGCCACTCCCAGAAAGCTCATCCACTGGCTGTCCTCCAAGCAAAGGTAACATCTCCATACCAAAATGAAACCTCATCTCTTATGCTGATCAGAACATATGTTTCACCACAAATGCCCACTTCAACCTTCTGCTTGTTTTACAAGCAGCTTTTCCTCCAGACCTTCAACTTGTGAAGGCTGCCTCTTCATTCCGCTGCCACTTGCACCCCAAATTCATGCTGTAGGAGCCATCTCCTTCCCACACCTGCCAGAAATCAGGTCATGCTCAATGGCTAGATAAGCCCTGCAGCTGTGAGGGAATAAAAAACCAGAATCACAGAATTGTAGGGGTTGGAAGGGACCTCTGAAGATCATCTAGTCCAATCTTCCTGCTAAAGCAGGATCACCTAAAGAAGATCACATAGGAACATATCCAGGCAGGTTCTGAATGTCTCCAGAGAAGCAGACTCCACAGCCTCTCTGGGCAGCCTGGTCCAGTGCTTTGTTACCCTCACAGTGAAGAAGTTTTTCCTTACGTTTACATTGAACCTCCTGTTTATGACAAGTGCCCCTTGTCCTGTTGCTGGGCACAACCAAGAAGAGTCTCGTCCCGTCCTCCTGACACACACCTTTCACATATTTATAAGCATTAATAAGATCCCTCCTCAGTCTCCTCCAGGCTAAACAGACCCAGCTCTCTCAGCCTTTTCTCGTATGGGAGATGCTCCAGTCCCCTCATCATCTTAGTGGCTCTACACTGGACTCTCTCCAGTAGTTCCTTGTCCTTCTTGAACTGGGGAGCCCAGAATTGGACACAGTATTCCAGATGTGGTCCCACTAGGGCAGAGTAGAGTGGAAGGGTAACCTCCCTCAACCTACTGGCCACACTCTTCTTAATGCACCCCAGGATGCCATTGGCCTACTTGGCTGTGAGGGCACATTGATGGCTCATGGTCATCCTGCTGTCCACCATGATTCTCACGTCCTTTTCCCCAGAGCTGCTCTCCAGCAGGTCAGTCCCCATCCTGTACTGATACATGGGGTTGTTCTTCCCCAGACACAGTGCTCTACACTTGCCCTTATTTAATTTCATTGTCTCCCCGCCCAACCTTCCAGCCTGCACAGGTCGTGCCGAATGGCAATACATTCAACAGCAAGTGTATCTGTGCCTCTGCTTCTTGGTACAAAGCTTTTTGGTACAGAGCTTAGCACCATCTTCAAGGCAAAAGTCCTCCAGGCACAGGCTCTGAGCTTCTTCTTGTTTCTGTGGTACTGAGGCTCACAAGGCCCCTTATCCAACACAAGCTCCTGAAAGCACTCACTGTTTAAATATTGAGTTATAACTTATGTGCAGAATTATTTTATAAGAGCAAAGAATATCCACTGAACAAAACCTAATGCACGCTTTGAACCACAGGACTGCTGTATAAAACATGTAGAAGGGCTTTGATTTTTATCTGTACCAGATGGAAAAATTCTTCTCAATGTCAAAGTGAAAAATAAACCACCATGGAAAGCAGAGCAAACCAGCAGCACTGGGCCCTTGTTAGATATCACCAGCAGTTTGAGATGCTACAGAAAAAAAGAGCTGATAAGCCAAGCAAGAGAGAGGAGTCAGGTTAATAGCACAGTACTTGAGGAATAGTGGTTAAACTGTGTCACTGTTGAACTTGAATTTAAAGGAATGGTATGTTTCTAAATGGTCTGAACACAATCAAACACAATCTGTACAACATAGCAACACATTGGCCAGGCCAGAATAGCAAAACTACGTGTTGGCAGAAGGGCTTTGGATTTATTTGTTACCAAGTTTTAAAAAATCAGCATAATTGCCTTATGCACCATCTATTTTAAAATGTTCCATTCAGCACAAGATGGCAAGATCAGATTAATCTCTGCAGTTTGTTGATACAGCATTTTTATTTACCCTAAGTAGCAGGCTGGTAGAGATATACAAAGTTCATCCATCAATACTGCTCTCGCTGTACGCCTACCAGTGATGTGGTGTATTATGTACAAGTTTCTATGGAGTTCTAAAAAGTACATAGCTATTTTCTGCCGTGTCAGTGGAGTTTAAAGTACTTCCTGACTATCTCAGCAAGCGAACAGATCATTTGACATGTGACAATGCCATCTGTGGGTGAAGTGGTATTCACACCCATTGTTCATGGACAAAAATACACCTGTTTCCCCTTCCCTTTTTTTTTTTCTTCTAGAAAAATGTCACAGAGATGTGACACCTATTAGGCACAGGAGCGTTATAAGGCTCCTTGTCCCTGTTTGACTTCTCTGCTTCATTCTAAAGCTCCCAGAAAAAAATAATTACTTGAAGAAAACAGGCACAACTACGCAAAGATGGTAACTGTTGTGGTCTCCATTGGATAAAGCACTCATGTTAGAGTTGGATAAATTATATCAATGTACTGTACTGTTTTACCTTTATCATCTGGAAAGCAGGGATTTGATTCTCTCTCCAGTTCAGCCCATCCACAAACTTTTTATATTCCACTTGCTTATTGTCATCTTCAAACCTAAGCAGAATATCCATAAGATGACTCAAGGTTAAAGGAAATTTTTAACAAAGTTGTATCATGTTATCTACAGCATACTAATAATTACCCTTTGGATAATACCACCTTTTGGAGTGTGGTAGATCACTGGAACAGGTTGCCCAGAGAAGTAGTAGAGGCCCCATTCCTGGATATATGCAAGGTCAGGCTTGATGAGGCTCTGAGCAACCTGATCTGGTAACATTGTCCCTGCTCACTGCAGGGCATTGGACCAGATGATCTTTAAAGGTCCCTTCCAACCCAATACACGCTATGATTCTGTGATAATTATTTTTTACACTTTTATTACCAATTACTGGCAGGAGTACAGAAAAACACTACCAAACTGCCAGGACTTCTATATCATACCCTCTGTTCCATATAGTTACATCTTACTGTCTCTCATGGTAGAATTCAACTTCTTTAAGATTTATTTCATTTTACTTCTGAAGCATTGCCCAATCTTTACCAACACTGGGATCTCACAAGTAGTGACAAACATAGGGTTGGCACCATCAGGGTATGATTCCTTTGTGCAGAAAAGAAACAGGTAGAATCATAGAATCATTTAAGTTAGAAAAGACCTTTAAGATCATTGAGTGCAACCGCAGACCTAACACTGCCAAGTCTACCACTAAACCATGTCCCTAAGTGCCACATCTACAAGTCTTTTAAATACCTCCAGGGATGGTGACTCCACTGCCTCCTTGGGCAGCCTGTTCCAGTGCTTGACAACTCTTTCGGTGAAGAAATTTTTCTTGATACCCAATCGAAACCTCCCCTGGTACAACTTGAGCCCCTTTCCTCTCGTCCTATTGCTTGTTACTTAGGAGAAGACACTGACAATCACCTCACTAAAACCTGTTTTCAGGTAGTTGTAGAGAGCAATAAGGTCTCCCCTCAGCCTCCTTTTCCCCAGACTAAACAACCCGAGTTCCCTCAGTTGCTCCTTGTGCTCTAGACCCTTCATCAGCTTGACAGAATGACAGCTTGATAGGTGAGCAATACGAGAGCTGTGCTATAACACAACTGACCTGCTTTATATGGCTTCTACAGTAATTTCCTGAAAGTAAGCAATCCTTCAAAAATGCTGTTTGCACACACCTTGGGATCAATTTAGAACCAATAAACACACAGGTCTCTAACCTACCAAATAATAGCCAGATCTAAAAATCACAACCCTTTTCATTTGGAGGTTGGTTTATGGCATTGTTCTTTATTTATATGGAATAAATATATATTTGTGTCACTTATGAGTGTCCCCTAGCTGCATGATTATATATATGCTACCAGCTAAGGTCTACAGATGCATGTGGAACACGCTCACTCCCTGAAATTTCTAGTCAGTACCTTGCACACTGGTGTGTATTTGAAAGCCACGTCATCCTTCTGCCATTGATTTGGATGAAGCAGCTTCAGAAAAAACGTCTTCAATTCAGCAAAACACTTAGGAGATATTAAGGCGCTTGGGAACTACTGTTATTTCAGTGGGACCAGTCAAATGCTTGAAGAGTATCCACAAGCTGAAGCTACAATGCAAATCATTCTTGAAATGAACAGCTTAACTGCTCTGGTATAAATACTGCACTAGCAGCTTCTGTGAATGACATCTGCCTCACCTAACACTGCCTACATATGTAAAAGATTTGGTTTAGGCATATAAGCACACCCTGGAAGTGTCACCGGGGTCCATGGAGAGACATATACAACAAGCAAGACTCAATAGCTATTCTTTGGTGGGAAATATCAGGTCAAACAATTCTGCCCTGTAATCTGGTGAGACAAATACTACTGCACAGGAGCAAGATCATCTCCTGGAAATAAGTCTTTTAGAAATTAACTTTATCTTGCACTTAAAGCAGCAGCACTGCACAGAACATGGGCCTCAAAACACTTCAATGACTGCAGAGGGTTCTGATATAAATTAAGCATGAAGGTACTAGAAAGGAGAATTTACAGCATAAACTGGGAAAACAATACCAGAGAAGAGGAGAAATAAATCTAGTGACAAAAATAAACTGCAATAAACTGCAACTCATCTTCTCCTTCTCCTCCCATACCTTTCATTTAATAGTCAGCAGGAGAGGTAATAATGAAATACACTAGGAGCCATAAACAGAGATGCTAGCGATAAACTGGAATGTTAAGTACAGTGAGTTATGCTGAAGATGAAAGCAAAGTCAGAAAAGAATGCTACTGTTAGTAGTATTCAGGAGAAGCCTGAAACATTGCCATGAGAAAAACCTCCTATGACAGTTTGCTTCTTTATAATAGCTTACACACAAGTTAACATTTTCATAACGCCTTACTTCTGGGGAATATATCCCATATACAAGAAAATTATCATTCCCACATCTAGGGGGTTCGTGTTTGCTTCAGGTTTTTTGCAGGTGGCAACTGGGAAAAGAAAGGAGTTTTGCATTAAAAGTAACAAGGCAATTAAAAAAACTTATGCCTCTTGGAAAAGCAAAAACCAAAAACAACGTCTCACAGATTTTGAATTTCAGAACTATCATGACAATATTTTTTTCCTTTTACTATATATGTATTTATGTTCTGCTTCTTGTGAAAAGTCAAAAGATTAAGTCTATTGCCAAGATGCAGAGCTGTGTAAGCAGGATTTTTAAATAAAGAACAAGTGAAGGCATGTAACTACTTAAACTTTATGTTGAGGCAATGAAGTCAAGGAAAGCATTGCTTCTGCTTTCAACAGACATTAACAAAGATAGAAGTCCTTTGTTGTGACAGCACTAGCAAACTGGCATGACAACATGGACATGAAGTTAACTATAACCAAAGATTTTTAACATGAGCAGTGGACATGGGATTCCTAAATCCCATACGTAAATAGCTACAGAAAGCAGCCTAGAATATTACTCTAGAATAATCCAGAGAGAAAAAAAAATCTACTCTTTAGATCTCATTCCTGCTGTGACTTATTGTACCAATCGACTAAATGCACATGCTTGCAACACGGCACAGAGTATCCAGATGGACTGAGGAGATGTTATCAATTTGTGCATTATTAGGAGAGAGACGTCACACACTTCAGTGGCTGGAGTTCATATGACTGAAGCTGACAGTGCTCTTCAGAAAAGGAAATTAGATTTGTTTTATCAAGAGGATGCAGCAAAGATCTCTTGAAACCATGCTTCTCTTCAGTTTTGCCCTATGACTTCGCTGATGCATGTAATTTTAGACTACGAAAGTCACTCCTCCACCCCATCATAGTTTGTAGAGCTGTTTTTTCTTTGACATTACAGATAAAATGGCACATTTTGGCATCTAAAAATATATTCATAATTAAATACTCCAGATAGGTGAAAAATCTGGTTAAATCACATTATGACAATTCCTGAGGATGGTTTGGTGTGTCAAGGCTACTTACAAATATTTTTTCATTCCCATCAAGAAATCTGTAACCCAAACATTTATGTGAAAAGTTAATGTACATGCAGAGATTTTTTATTCCTTAGTTTTGAATAACAATTATTAAGAAGTTAATCTAGATAATAATAGAGGAGAACCATCATGCTGCTTTAACCTTAGAGAAAATGTTGGGATTCTTCAGCCTGTTTGATAGTCTGATAGTTTGATAGTAACACAGGTATATACCTAAATTGTCATAAACTGCTTATAGGAAAAATATTTAAAACAGCAGGCGTGGACAAGTCTATGCAGCTGATCAGTATGAAACAAGTAATGGCTACCATTTTGTGTATACATTTATTCACATCTTGAACAACTACAAATTGAACCATCAGTTCCTCGGCATCCAGAATACCAGAAGTAATTTCTTTTAAGAGATCCAATTATTAACGCTAGGGAGTCTCATAGAGAGACTATGGCATAGAGAGTCTCAGGCATCAAAGGTAATGAGCAGAAGACAGAGTGCAAGGAGAATGATCTTGTGATCGTCTCCAATCTTGCTTCTGCTACCAGGACACTTGCTATAACAGAAATATAGGGTTTGCTTTCTGAAAGAACTAGATCAACCCTAAAAAAACATTACAGGTAGGCAAATAGGTAAAAAATTATTACCCAACTATGAACCAGGGAAAGCTGAGCATGCAGGAATGGCCTGGTCGATTTGGGCCTTGAGAACGGGGATGACCATGCAGGAGGCCCTCTGCCATCAGGCACTGCTACCTGAAACACTAAGGATTAATGCTTTCAAAACAGCAAGCCCCCCCCCTCACAGACAGACTCACCCTGGTACTGTGGAGAGGTGAAGAACTACACAGCCACTCTTAACAGAAATTAAATGACCTATTTTAAAAAATAGGGACATATACACTACTAAACTAACGTGGAACAACCAACATGTAATGCTTGTAAACTTGTCATCCATTCTTTCTTCCCTCCAGTTTTAGTTTCCTCATCTGCCAGCTGTTCATATACCCTCTAGGGAAAGACTGCGTCTTTTTAAATCCTTCTTAGCATACATTTAGCATTGTAGTAAATAAAAATAACAGAAAAAACCCACCTAAATTCATTACTTAAGTTAATACTTTAGAAACATATATTTGTTAAACGAACTATATATGTTCATTATGCCTGCATAAATTTAAAGAAATGTTTATAACGACCTCTGTAGCTTTTTGCAGAAACAGTGGTGTACCATCTGCATTGCTTAATACATTATAAAAGTCTGGATTGCCCTGTGATTAAAAAACTAAGTGAGAAAAAGTTGATGGGTAAAATAAATACTTTTTAATAAGTCAGCTCAGACAAATTGGAAAAATGCACACATTGTTGGGTAGCTAAATCATAGTATGTCACCATCCTTTACAATTAAACAGATAAATTTACTTCAGACACACAATTTGAAAGGGTCTCATGAAACCTCAGTCCTTGTACTAATTCTCTCTGCACTGTGTGGAAGCTGAATGGTCTTAGGGTACAGTAAACAAAGTCTTCGGTCATCTGGACGTGACCACAAAAATAGACAATGCCTTCTAGTCCCATCCCATCCTTTTAATAAGTGACAGATCATTGCAGTATAATTTACAAATGTAAATAACAAATACTTTAAAAGCATTACCTTTCAAAATGGAAAAATAGAACCATTAAGTCCTACAGAAAGTCTTTTCCACCTAATCTCAGATAGCAAAGCTGAATAAACATATAGCTTCAGTCTTCAACTATTATCTCTCCACACTGTCTAGCATCATTTTATAGTTGACTAGGGTCCAGCTAGTCCATTAGCTATATATACTGATTTTGTGGGAATTAGTCCAACAACTTTTATTGTACCACTTTCTTCCTTCATACAGATACACACAACAGAAACACCACCACCATCACTTGCTTCAGAAACATCAATGGACAAAAAAACTACATGCTTCCTCATAAAAAAACCCCACCCAAAACCAAGGAAAGAATATTGTTGACAAACTTTGACCACACTGAATTGCATATTCCCCAGGAGTGAGACTGTTCTTCATTAACAATTAACCTGTGGGTTTCAAGATTTTTCAGTCTTGAAGAAAACTACAGGAAGCGAGAGGAAAGGAAGAGAAAAGTCTAAATCTCATTTAGCCAACTCTTCAATTTCCAGATCACTGGAAATTAACTCCTATTAAATAGACTTCAAAAAAATCTTTCCCCGACTCTGCACCCTCATGAAACAATAAACTGACCAAGCAGTGCCAACTGCACACATTATTAAGAATGTGACAATCTTCCTTCTGATCTGCAGTGCAGTGACTCACCACACAACTGCCATCTTTCGAAGCAGCTGATAGTGTAACTTAGAACTGGCATTACACATCTCACGCTATCATATGAAGTACTTCTCACACTGATTTCTGAGGCCCAGCTTCACATCATTTACTTTTCTCATACAAAAATCTGCAATAGTGGCTGGCCACAGCCCCTTTAGAAACAAAGGAAAATGGACAGTAATTTAGAAATCCAGCTCTTATACAGGCTGAGGGGATAACTCTCTCCTCCATCGCTTACAGAAAGTGGCTGAATCCTAACTCAGCTGTCATGGGTACCTGCCTGAAGCTGGGTGAAATCCAACCCTTAGTCTCCTCTTTGTCTTCTAAGCTTATCTCTAATTTTTATTATGGTGTACTGGGCTTTTTCCTTTTAACTGCCTACACTAAGGCTCTTCAGGAGACATGAGATTCATCTGACAAAAGCTTTCCTTGGGATAATTTCACAAACAATAAACATGTCTCTGAAGCCTATGATGTGTCAGGCTTGTCTGGTTTTTGTCAGCATTGAGTTAGTACATAAAGGAAAACCTCCAGTCTCTTCCATGTCCATCTATTCAATTTCAGCCTTTATGAAGTGGAAACTATGAGAACTCCTTGTCTAGTACAGGATGTCAATTGTCCTCCAACACTTTTTGTGTTGGACAGCTTGGTGGGAGTTCTAAAAATGAGGTTTAGATTAATGTTAAAATTCAGACACACTTCTGATGACTAATGTTTGTAACCTAACTGTCAGAAGTGATGAATCGCAAATTGCCAGAGTCTGGCTACTGCAGGGAAATATTCTGAAAATTTCTGGTCTTGAAATGAGGACTTTGTGAAAAATAGCCCCTTAGCCTTCTTAAAGCAGTCTTGTTGATACTGGTTGTGCTTGCAGAATGAAGATGCTTTATCAAAATGGATTCCGTATTTCTGCCTGACAAGAGTCTTTTTATTATTTGATTAATCCAGATGCATAGTTTGTAATTCCTCCTGAAATCAAGAAGCATATCTACCTGAAAGCACCTAAACATGACAGAAAAAAAGAGCTGCTCCTGCTTTTAACATAGTATGAAAGCACAGACAAAACATTTAAGGATTTCCCACATGGGAAAGAAGAGACCAATGAGCATGCATTTAAGCCTATTTAAGCCATGAAAACCAAACTCAACATGACATGAATGTTCAAAACACCACAGGTTACTCTGAACTCTAGTCTGTAATACAAGTGCACTGAATACTAGTTCTTTTCACTTCTATTCCCATTAAAACAGCTACCCAAGTAATTTTCCTTGAAACAATTACATGTGCTATGGAAAAAATATCAAAACCATGTTAATTCTCCTTTGGCTTTCTAAAAATTACAATAAAGTACGTTTCAGGTGAGATTAATAGGAGTAACAAAACACTTTTATTTACTACTGATGCTGTCTACTTCATTAAAGGACATTTCATTATATTCATCTTGGTATGTCTCTTAAAACTCACATAATGTGGTTTCATAAGATTATTGTTTTTATCTTGCATATATACAGTAATTACTAATGCAAAACAAAAAGTTAATCTCATTGATAATGATAAGTATCAGTAGTTGATTCCCATAAGGCTAATTTCATAGAATTCTGGAAAAATCCAGATGATCTGCCATGCCAGATAAAACGAAGAGAAGCTGTTAAGATGGATGCACCTTATTGTTTATAAATATTCCATAAATAGGACAGTTCACATCTGTATAGGGACAAAATCAGCATCATGAAATTTTCAGTATTAGATAAATGACAAATTCTTAAGAACTGTGTCTGCAGTAGTTATTTAGCACTGACTTGCATCCATACATGCAGATCATACTATCTGCCCTTAACTTACATGGTCAGTAAAGCCTGCAGAACATCATCAGCCAGTGGCAATTTAAAGGATTTGCAAATAGTCCTGCACATCTCACGGGGCAGCGCTCCACGTCTACACAAATAGAAAGAGAGGGGGAGAAGTGTACATTAGGTATTGTCCATTAGGTATTTACTTGAAGCCAATGTTGCTGTGAAAAGGAAAACATGTGAGGAATATCAGGGTAGAGGTAAAGAAAGCAAGGTTTTATGAAATTTCAAAGCCAAGAAACATGGTGGCCTGTCACCCCCACACTGAGGTCCTTAGTGATTCTCTGTGATGATTCTTTATCTGACCAGAGAACAAAAGGGCAAATGAGTCATATGAAGAATTGGCTACAATTCCTTTCTTTTTTCCTTTAAATCACTATTTTTCCTCTTTGATTTAAAACACTGTGTTTTGCCTGTGAATGGGCATCTGACTGTGTCACACAATGTTCAGTACAGCAGGTATAATAAAAAGTTCACAAAGAAAATGAAGAAGAGACAAAAAGGCTATCCTTTTCTCATCTACTGTCAGAGAGGCTTAACATGACAAATAATATTCTTTGGCCACAATGTATCATTTGCTCAGCAACAAACAGAAAGTAGCTAGGTTTACAAGCAGGGCTTCCCAAAAAACAGCTTAGGATAAATTGAGGAAACTTACTTTTCACAGTCATTGTATATAAGCACTGCAGACAGTTTTCCAAAATCCACAAAGTTATTTTTCTTTAGTTTTTCTTGAGCTACTGCAAGAAGGTAGTGGAGGTCCATTGCATATTCATGTTTCACACAGTAATATCTCCCAAGAGTGATAATTTCATGTTCTGAAAATGCTCCATCAGTGATATTGACTATCAAACGTCTGTTCACAAAAACAACAGCCTACATTAATTTTAAGTAAATGAGTTTAAATAATAACCAAATTTCAGGGGAAAAAAAGGGGTGATTAAAGTGCACTCATTATAAAATGCTGTATTTAGATATTTAAAGAATGTATCCACTTTAATTTGAAATCCAGATTTGTTCAAGGAGATATAACGGAAATTACCTGAACCCTTAAACTTTTGCTGGATGTCCACATTCCCTCAGTAGTTGGCTATACATACAAATATACGTAATAATCATGACTGAAGCCTTTTACCGGAGATGCCATACTGGCATGGAATATTAGCAGAGATTTTGTCATTGCATTTATACAACAAGATGGTGAATTAACAAGGCCTTACCCTGCTTTGTTCCTAATTCTGTTCTGCATTCTGCAGCACATGATTAATTATCTGTAAACATGAAGCATGCACAACAACAGTTGCATAAAATAGAGAGAAATTATTACCAGTGGCAGAGAAGTGGAGCAGAAGATCCCAACAGAGAACAGAATACTAATCAAGTGTCAAGCTACACTTCACAAAGCATTGTGAAAGTTTGCCCTCTTGGGAGGGCCCAAAAGCTGGAGGAAGGGAAACAGAAATTGGTCACAGAAAGAGGGCACAAAATTATACCCAACTGGTAATCACAAGCCCTCCTGGCAAGAATGGAAGACAGGAGGCAGTAGCAAGACCAGTTTATGCTTGGACACTGCCAGCAGAGAATCAGATCCCATGCAGGGAAGAGCCTCAGATGTGCTCTCCCAAGATTGATTGTGCTGCTCAGATGAATCAGCCCAATACAAGGAAGAAGACAAGTTCCTGAGATCCATCTGATGGCCCAGTGCTGGCAGTGAATGACAAGTCATTCCTGTTAATATCAAGAATTTGTTGTTGATAATAGACCTGGAGTGATTCCTGGGCAAGCTCCTGAAGGCACTTGTAGTGTATCAGCAAATGGACACAAGCTTTGGATCTTAAGACCCAGGACTAGTAATTACCATTCAGAACAATCTCCCTCTGGTTTATATTGTCGGTGGAGGGAGGAGAAGGACTAATTTTAAAGACTACATTGTGTTTGCAGTAGGGGACTTGTTGCCTTCAATGATTACAGAGCTCTTCACATGTCCCAGATGTTGATACAACATAAGGGAAGAAGAACACCGGTAGCGAGGTATGCAAGAAAACCTAGGAGGTGTCCTGCTTTCCTGGAAAAAAAACTGGCCTGGACTGTAGGTTACCTCAGTTGTTACACGGTCTCTTGTCAAACCTGGCTTAGTGTAACTACATCAGCTTTATGATCTCAGACGTCTGCCTCTGGATTTTTTGAACGCTGAAGAGGATTTTTTTTAACAGCACACATCAACATCGGCCTATGTGCCTCAGTCAAAATTAAATAAATTATATATAATACTTTGGATAAACCGCACGAAGAATAAACTTCACCATAGTTGCTGATGCAATTAGAGCTGTACCGCGTGGTACCCTTGAGGGTACTGCATCACTGTGATTAGATACCAGTCTTTGAAAACAAATGGAATAAATTATTAGTAATACAAAATGTTCTGACACAAGACTCAAACTGCTGGCTGGAGAATAGTTAAATTCTTGAATGACTATGATAATGGGTCTCTGTCTCTTAACATCCACAAGTGAACTGAAAGCACGGAAACTTAGTACCTTTCCAAACTGCAAAATTTCATCAACAAACATAATTTTTCACTTGCTTCCTCTCAGAGGCTTGTGCAATCCTGTTCAAATGAAGGTAACTCTACACAGAATATGACTCTACTTACAGAGCCACTCACAAAAAAGATGCTAAACACTACATAGTGTCTACTTTGATTCAACTGCTGCTTTTTTCAGATTAAATAACTCAGAAAGATCCTTTATTTGCAGTGACAGTAGATAAATATAAGGAGAAAACAAGTTTTTGACAGTAGAAAACCTTATTTGACATTATGCAAACTCAATGACCAAAACTTGGTCCATCTATCAATATTATCATTATCTTATCAGCATTATTATTCCGCTTAATGAATATTATTATTTATATCATAGCAGCATTCAGAGATCAAGTCAAAACTGGAGCCTCTTTCCTGAAGCGTGCAGTAATACTACTGCAATCACAAAGAAGAGGACAATACTGCCTGATAAGCCTGGCACTCTAAATGCTTGGGCTGGGGAAGCTGAAAGCATGTAGATAACATCACCCATCTGAGTATTTCCACAGACTGGATTTCCAGCATGGTACAGATTTTTCCACTGTCAGGATTTAAAGGTTTTTTATTTTCTCAAGCCAGGCAGTAACAATCAAGTCAGCAAAACCCCCAGATAAAATTGTCATCTCGTTTGGGAATTAAGCACTATTCTAGCCATTGCTAGGGACTAATGAGTGACATCCAAGATTTGCAAACAGAATTACAACAAAACTCTTCCTGACAAAAAGAAACAAGCTGCAACAATTGTTCCCCCAGCTTAGTTTTCTTTTGTTTTACTTTTTTATTGCTGTTCTAGAAGAACAAGACAGATTGCAATCTGAATTTGGTAGAAAAAGAGGAAATCATAATTAACTGCTTAAGAGAGCTGTTTCTCAAGCTGAATTGAAGATAGGCATCTCTGTTAAACCCACATGGCTCTTTGTCTCTAACAGTGAATGTCTTGCCAGTAGCTTATGAGAAAAAGCAGTCTGGATAGGACCATGTGATGCGCAGGCATATAAGTTTTAGTCTTTTTTTTTCGTTTCTTTTTAGCAAAGCTTTTAACAATGGCTTACGGGAGAGATTCACTGTACACCATGTTTTTATTTCCTGGAGGACATGCTGCAGATTTGGGTTCTGAAAGTAGTTGAAGGAAATTGTGTAATTACAATTCTGCTTCACTACATCTTACTTATAGGTGTATTTTTAAATGCAGCTCATATAAAGTTACATAGGTAGAAAAGAAGAAATCTGAACAGCCAAATTCAGTGCATAGTAAAGCTTTAGCTGTATTTAAGATAAGAAAAGAGGATTATCATGCTGGTTAAAACTGTCACACAGATAATTGCCTGGACTAAAAATAATCATTTGTAAGTAGTTATAATCATGAAGTGCCATGACAGATTAAACAGTGCATATACACAAGAAAATACAAAACTGAAAGAAAAATACATATTGTCTTCACAGAAGAATATCTTTGACTTTTCATAGATGCAAAGAAGTGCTCTCATCTTCATCATTAAAAATGTTATTTCATTTTAAAATAAATTGATAATAAAATGAAGGGAGCCTTTAGATTACTAGATATGATATGAATGAACAGAAATAAAATCTACTATCACTATAAAGCACAAAGGTTAAATGTTCCTTAGAGGCAAATTCTTCCTCTGGTCGTGTGAATGTTTCCTGTTAGACCTCCTGTGGCCCCTCAGAGGGTTGTAGACTGTGAGTACGTGCTCAGAAAAGCCCAGGTGAGCACTGAGGCCAAAAAAACAGTATTACAGGGATTCCGCTGCTCATGGAGAGGGCTACTACATCTTTGTTGCTGAAACCGAGTGCCACAATACCATATAACTAGACATATCTTGCTCTATGCCACAGAACAGCACTAGCCTAAATTAAACCATAATAGTAGACAGATTTTAATTGTGCTTTTCAGCTTCCTTGAAACTATTGCATTTCTCTTTCTTTTTTTTTGGGGGGGGGGAATTAATTCACTTCCTTTTTCACATTCATTCTCCAAGAAAATGCAAAACAGATGTATTCCATTTGTCAGCTAGCACGTGCAGAAAGTGTCAAGAAACAGTCATGAGCTATACGTTTTTGAGGAATGTGCCTTCATTAAATATTAAAAAACAAAACCCACTGTCTTACCTGAAAGGGTCATACTCAATCTCCTTGCTATGCTCAGGCTCACTGGCTGCAAACACCTGCCTGATCTCTCTGGAACGAGGTTCAGCTATGTCTTTCAGTTTCTTGAGGATGAAACCGATATCAGCCACAGAGAACTTAACAGAAGAAAGAAGACACAGATTAGAGAGAAAGGCCCTATGCAACCACCTATGCATGTACCACCAAGAGCTGCCAAGATGCAAGGCAACTTTGAACTGCTAAGTATCATTTGTTTCTTCATTGTCTCACTGCAAATGCACAAATCAGCACTGTGTTAAGTTTGGAGGGAAGCTTGCTACTGAGAAAAACTGCCTCCTACTGAGAATATAAAAAATAAACAAAATCATCAGACCATACACTCTGAGAAAGCTTAATCCAGCTACTTAAAAGGACATCTACTTTTGCATCAAACATGAAATTGTTAAAACAGAAGCAGAAACATTAGAAGTACAGTTCTTATTACTTGGTCCTTATTTTATGTTGGTGCATCTCACCTAATTTTCAACGAATAAAATACACCATGTTAAAACTAACCTTTTCACCATTGGCTCTGACAAACTATTGAATAGATATTCTCATTCATATTAGACTGAGTACGCTGGTTTAGATACTCAGAATTAGCAGACTGGAAATCTGTTAGGAACCAGTTTTTCCTGTCATGTAAGAAGAATGCTTATTTCTTCTAAATATAGGCCATTCAAAAAAAGAAATTTAGATAAACAGAACTGGAGCACTTAAGCTTGCACCCTATATTAAGACTGCTGTGTTAGAGATCTACCAAAGATTTATTTGCCACACTCATTTTTAACATAAAACATCTACGTATTCAGACATTGACTAGGGCTTGAGTTCAAGGATGAATACCTGATACGCCCTCACATCTGTGTCATGCTCTACCTACTTACAAAGCACAATGAACTGTCCGAAAATAGTTTTGTCCCATTTCTTCCAGTAAGTAACGTTGTTTTAACTAGCAATTATTTGAAATTTGGTATGACTGGTATTAAGGACCAAATCACAACAGAGACTGGCTGGGCCTCATTGTCAATTATGCTGAAGTCTGTCTACAACTTTCTAACAGTTCAAAGGGATCTAGAAAAGCGTATTTAATGTTCCTATGATGCTGCCAGAGCAGTATAAAGTGATCCAAGTTTAATAAATACTTCAGTGGCTGTAGGTAACATGCTCAGATTTCACGAAAACAGTTGGTGCATATGCCAAAACTGCCTCAGGTACAACCCTTGCAGGCAGTGCCACACAAGGCAGTGTCAAGGAGCAGCTGGACCAGCAACCAAAGTTTTAGATACAGTAACTTCTTCAGCCCCTTCCCCAAGTTGTTATTGTTTGGGTCACAAGCACACAGCTTTTTGCTGAAAAAGCAATGCATAGATATTGAGAAATGAC